GGAGCAATGTGCAAGGCCAGCACATACAATCCCACACAAGTGTCCTCTAGAGATGCCCATCCCAGCAGCCACTCAGCTGGATGGAGGCAGGATCTCATAGCTCTGCTTGGTCACCCTACCCTAGCACAGGACACTCGGCCAGTTGGGCTGGAGACTTCCTTCTCATAGAGCACACAGCAGAGGTCAGCATCTTGTCCCTGTCCACAGGACTACGCGGAGGAGACGATGCTCACTAGACAGCTGGACAGAGCAAGCCTCAGCACTATCCCTGCTCCCATCTCCAAGTAAGAGCCGGCAGGTGAGCCCTGGGGCCAAAGGAAGCCTTGCCACCTCAGACCCACCAAGAAAAGCCCAGACTTTGCAGAAGCCTCTAGCTCTACATGCACTGCCCTCCAGCCATCATCCAAAGCACCACAACACCCCTTTGCTGGGGTGAAATGAGAAGAGCAGGCGTGGGGACAGGCAGCATCTCAACCATATCATGACCTCCTCCTCCTCAGACATGCTGGGCTAGCTCAGGATCACAGCTACCCTGACACACTTCAGCATGGCCCTGGTTCAGCAGCTCCAGTGCTGGGGCTGAGTCCCACCACCATGCTCCCCGACCAGGTCCAGATTCACAGCACTGGGAATGCAGGAGAAATTTGGTTTCAGCCATTCCACATGGCACACATGTCTTTTAAAGCACAAATGAATCCTTCCCATTTACAGCCTCTGTCACATGAGGCTGCAGAGAAGTCTACTGAGAAGGCTACTGGGTCCCAGCCAGTGCCTGGTACTCCTGAAGAGAAGGGGCTCACCACTGCACGAGATGCTGACCACCTCACTTCCACACTCATGCCCTGGTGAGATTTCAGGCTGAAGCCTTTACTTCAGGCCCTCAGAGGTCCAGGACAGGCAGAAGCATTGGTCCATGATCCAAGCAGCAAAGTTTTCATGACTTGGCACAGCCAAGACCAGCAAGCCTAAGGGGCCTTTTGGCTCCAGAAGTCCTCTGTACCAGTTCCAGCAAGAATCATACTGGACCTTCTACACCACCAGTTCCTCTAGCAGAGACATGAGGAAGCACAGCAAAGCCTGAACCACTCTTGGCTCCCTTACAGACATCTCCAAGCGTTTCTGAAGCTGGGTCTCATTTACTAGACCAGCTACACAGCCAGGTAGCAGGAGGAAGAACAGTTAGCCCATCTCGGGGTCCTGCTGGGATATTGATGCTCAAAACAACTTAGACTCGTGTCTAAAACTTTGATTTGGAAGAGCAAGAAAGGAGAAATAACCTTCTTTACAGGGTATTCACAGAGGCATATTTACATTGTCCTGGACATGAGGAGATAACAGGGAGATTCCCACAACTCTCCCCCAGTAAGAGCAGTCATCGATACACCAAGAAGAGGTCTGGGAACACACCAGTTCCCAGAACCTCTGTGTGCATGGTGACTTCAGGGTATGTGCTCAGCCAACAATCTGTCACTAATAGAAAGCTGCATCTAACACTGAGGGGACTTTTATGATGCATGAAAACGGCTCTGAAGCACCATCCTGCTTCAGCCAGACCAAGTACAAGACGATTAGCAAGCGGTGAGCACAACTACTACACCCTGAAGTTCTTTGTAGCAAAGAGCAGCATCACAGAGTCATTTGGCTTCAGAAATTATATTAACCTTATTTGTTTCAAGTCAGAGAGCTAGAATCCATGCATGCAAGAGGTATCCAGGTCCACTCAAGCAGAGATTACAGAAATCAAGAGATGCCTGGCACCAATCCAGGAAGTGCTACAGGCATCCAGCACGTAACACAGGCTGCTCACCACTGGCATTCCCATGTGGTTCTGGCAGCACCATTGTGCAACAGCTACAAAAGGCCAAGGATGAAATACTCACTACTTCAGAGTCCCCCTAGGAGCCAAGAGCCTCCTGCCTCCCCTACCAGGGCATCTTTAACAGGTAACGCTGCACAGCCTTGCTGTGGACCAAAAGGGAAGATGATCCTTTCCTAGCAGGTAGCTTCTAATGGTCCTCATTTTACATTTGATGCTTTCCACATTCAGAAGTCCATGATGTCCAACCTACCATGATAGCAGCAGCCACCACCCATGGACTTGCAAGCAGGCCCTTGAGCCCTGCCAAGGGAAGGGGCCAAGAGGGCATGCGGGATAACCACAGACTTCAGCCACCCGCATCTAGACAACCAGTTCCAGATTTCCCCTGCTCCCCATGAACCCGGAACTGTCCAGTGACCTCCTGGGAGAGTAAGGATTAGATTCCAGAGTAGAAACAACGCTTTTACACCAGAAAGAGCAGGGTGAATGCATGGGGTCCTTAATGCAACATGACCACGAACACAACACACAGCATCCATGTCCAGGTCCTCCGGAGGCTGGAGAACGCTCTGCCTGCAGCAGGGGTGTGCAGCACCCAGGCAGCTCCTGCCTCACACCACCCCTCAGGAGTGCTGTCACACAGATTGGCGGCTGCCTGGAAAACTAAACAGAAGATAGCAGCAAGTGGGGAGGGACTGAGCTTGGGGAGGTGTCTGGTGAGGAACAGCAGGGACTGACATTAGGCCCTGTTTGTTTAACATTCCCGTTAACGACCTCGAGAGGAGAAAGAGGCATTCCTGTCCTCCGCATGTCACCGGGCAGGAAGCGGCTGCGAGATCCAGGGGCTTGCAGATAAGATAAAGGGAAAGGCTGAATTTGGGAGCTTCGCCCCACACCATATCTGGGGTGCACGGCGCCCTTCTGCAAATGCTCAGGGATGCGGCGACGGAGGCTCATGGAGGGGGGGAATGGAGGAGTGTCTGCAGCACCAGGATCTGGCTGCTTTATCCACACAGTACGGGAAGATATCCCAGCACACCTCCTGTGTACGCTGGGACTGAAAGATTCCACTTTGCACTAAATATATTTATCACTCTGTGTCAAGGGAGCTCCGGGCAAGAATCTGGGCTGGATCTGGAATTAAGCCCCTCAGACCACACCAGGACCCTGAACACAAGGTCACTCCTTCTGCCACCACTAGCTGCTTCTGCAGTGAGGAATGGCTCCCGGTCAGCCAGGAGGATGTACAGGGAAAGCAAACGCTCCGAGGGCTCCCACAGGCTCAGGGTAGCCACCACAGAGCCCAACCAGCAGCTCATCACCCACAGCATTATTTGTGATGGATCCTGGCAGAGAGAGTCCTTCCCAATAGCAACCCCACCAGGGATGGGGACACCCCCACTAGTCCCAGCCCATTAGCTCCCAGGCATCCTCAGCCACCTCTATGGTGGTCAGTCCTTTGTTGCACCCCTGGGTGCAGCACCCAATGAAGCAGCAGACCATCTAGCAGGGTGTATGGAGCCGTTCCCCTCCAGCACACACCCAGGGGTGACATGATGGAGAACAGGGACTGCTTCTGTTCAACTCCTGCCCTATTCCCAAGGGATATAGTCCTTAACTCTGTTTTCCAGCCACTAAGCATCACTCCAGAGAGGACTTGGCCTCCCCAGAGGGCTGGGATTTCCAGGCTCCCAAAATGCAATGGCTTCCGTCACCCACTTTGCCAGACCACCATCCAGCAGCAGGGAACAGGCCCGCACCAGGAGCTCACCCGGCCAGCACCAGAGGGGCACCAGGCCAGCTGGAGCAACGCCACTGGGATGCAACAAGCGGCACTGACCTCAGGGAGCTTCGCAGGCCAGTGAATAATTGGATCAAGGAGCCCCACTGTCCTGCGCGCATGCGTGCAGAGCCCACAGAACCTCCGCATCCAAGCCTCCAACACCAAGGAAGCAGCACACAGTCCCCAGTGCTTGGTCTATCCCCACCCACACCAGAGCCACTCAGTGAAGCTGGGACATGTCACCAGCATCACATCACCTAAGCCTTGCTCCATGCAGGGTGGAGAAATGCTACGGCCACCACCTGCCAATCCATTCCACCCCATTACCCACATCCCCCCATGCTGGGTTGGAGACCAGTGGGTGCAATGGCCACAGGACAGCTGGCGCATGAGGACCGCGTGGCTCCCATGGGTGGTGGAGAAAACCAGGCGCCATGTTGCGGCGGTGCGAGCGCACGGCGCGCTGGAGCTAGCGAGGGGAGGGGACACGGCACCTCCCCGGGTGTGAGGACTGCAGCAAAATGCTGCCAAGGCCGGGCATTTTCCAGCACCCTCTCCAAAATGGACGGCAGCGAGTGACCCACTGCATCAGTGCCTGCTGGAGGGACGCAATGAGAGAGGCGCTGTGCTTACAGTGATGCTACCAACATCACTGCAAGAGAGCCAGAGAGCAAATGTGTAGGGCTGCAAGCTCAGCTTTGGCATGGTGCTACAGACAAGAGACCCTTGCAAGCCCTCCCAGCAGAGTCCAGCAGCAGGCAGGCTCCAGCTTGCAATAGCCATCTAAGAGAAGGGAACTGCTGGCAGGGCAGCTCACAGCCCTCACCAGGCTGCCAACAGGGAGCTAAGGAAGATCTCCACCACCATGGTCCAGGTGTACCCACATGGGCAGAGCAGTGCCTGGGTGCCAGAGCCTGGTGCCCTCGAGCCACAGGGACTTGGGGACAAGACACTGCCCATGGGCACAGGCTGGAGGGAGCAGGTACTTGCCAATCCCCTGCCCCAGGGGTGCTACAGGGACACAAGGCTGACGAGGGGGTTCCCAATCCCTGCTGCATCCGCGGGATGGCCCGGGGGCGCCAGCTCTAAGAGCTGCTCGCAGCGCCCTGCCCGAGGTGCTCCAGCCCCAGACCCCGATTCTCCATACCCCGGCTCCCAGGTCGGGGCAGCCCCAGCATCCCTTCTCTGCGCCCCAACGAGCCAGGGCTGCAGCTCCAACGCCGTGCCCTCGGTTCCTCGAGCACGGCGCTGTGCTCCGGCCCCAGTTCCCCTACACGGCGGTGCCACATCCCTGACGCCTCATCCTCAATTCCCCGACGCCGCCGTGCTCTATCCCAGGTCCTCCAGCCCCGACGCCCCGCCGCTCCAGCCCCGCCATGCCTCGTCCCCGGTTCTCACCTCCTCTTCGACGTTGCCGCTGCCGTTGGTGTGCTCGGTGTCCTTGTTGAGGTTGCTCATGGTGAGGTGCCGGGGTAAAGGGGCGAACGGGGCGGGGGTGGTGCCGGCTGCTTTGGAGCTCCGGTGCGGTGCCGGTGCGCAGGGGCGGTGCCGGGCGGTGTGGGACGGCGCTGCCCTCCTGGCTCACATGCGGCGTCCCGGGACCTCGCCGCCGTTAAGGGCCGGGCCGGGGGTAGCGGGGCCGAGCGGAGCGCAACGAGCCGCAGCTGCGGGGCCGACGCGCCCCAGCCCCCGCCGCTCCCGGTGCCGCCGCCGAGCACCGAGCAGCGGGGCCGGGACCCGCCCGCCCCCGCCCCGCCCGCGCGGGGCCGCCCCCGGGCCTCCCGCCGCCAATCCCGGCCCGGCCCGGCCCCGGGGGAGCGGCGCCGCTGCCCTCCTCTCGCTGGGAGCGAGTTATTTTAATTATTTTCGTCCCCCCTCCTTGCTACGAAAACTTTCCCAACTTTGATGAACTCCTGCGCTCAGACTTCCTTAAAGGGCCCGCCCGCCCCTCCGCCCGCAGGCACCCCCGCGGGGTTCAGCCACATCCGAGAGCCCCAAGACGGCCCCGCTGTGACCCCCGAGGAAAGCCCCGAGCCCCAGGAGCAGCAGCCTCAGGAGCTCGGGACACGGGTCCCATAACCCCGGGACGGAGGCCCTGCATCCCCCGGGATGTGGCGCTGAGACCCGGGGAGAGCAGCCGCAGATCCCCTGAAACAGCAGCGCCTGATTCCCTGGAGACAGCAGCCCAATTCCTCTTGCCGGAGCTGCCCCGCATCCCCGCAGACAGCCGGTGGGTGCCACGATCACAGCCTTGCTCTCAGGCTGGGAAGACAAGCAGGGTTGAGGCACGTCCATCTTCCTGCCCTTCTCCCTCCCCACATCTGTGCCTCACCAGCCTCATCCTAACAAAGCAAGCAGGAAAATAGGCACGGGTTGGGCTCCCAGCTCCTCGACAGAGATCCCTGCCGTGCCCAGGGAACAGCCCAACCCATTCCCATCTGCTGTGACAGTTCCCTGTGCAAGGCAGATGTGCAAAACCCAAAGGGTCTGGGGTCAACCCACCAAGCACAGATTGGAACTAGATGATCCTTAAGGCCCCTTCCAACCCAAACCATTCTATAACTCTAAGCAAGAGATGCTCAGGGGATCCAGCTACAGCATTGCTTGTACCCAGTCCTTGCTGTTTCCCCAGTGCTGGGGCTGGGCAAAACATCATCCCTACTCTGCCCCAGTGAATCCATAGCCCCCTTGAGCTGTCAAAGCAACGTGTATTCCCAGCCTTCAGCTTGCCAGGGTTAGCTCTGTCTGGAGCTGCTCTAATGCACTCCTGGCCTGTGCTGCCCCAGCTGCATTGAATGTCACTTCAAAATCAAACTGACCCCATGACTACTCCTGAGCACATTTGCTGTCGCTGAGGGATAACATTTTGCTCATGTGCATGTTGTAAAGAGGTGTGAGCCTAGCTGGGGACAATCACAGCTGATTTCTCCACTCACACCTGGGTTTAGGGTCCTGTTCAAGCCCCAGCCTCTGTCTTGCTTTACCAGCTAGTTATGCAGAGGCTGCCCATGAAAATTTAACCCTAACCTCAACTATCCCCTGCACAAGCATCATCCAGCACCAGGTCCAGCACCGCAGGTGACCTGCAGGCCATTGCTGGGGTGGTTCCTGCAGTCAAGCAAGTGTCTGCAACATGGTGTGGTTTCATTGCAGGAGGTGTGTTGGAGGGGAGGAAACATCCTTCTGGGAGCATTGGCTTTGCATTTCCTTGTTTTCTAGGTTAGGGCTTTTAGCAGCAGCTGTTTGCATGTGGCACCGTGGATTTATGTGTTGAGTTCTCTTATAGACAGCAGCAAAGTGACAATTTCTTTTTGTAAGTCTGTGCAATGAGGGGCTCAGCCACAGAGCCTGGTCCCTGCTGGGTCCTCTAAGAAGGGAGGAAAAACCCACACTTTTTAATTTAAAAACTAATCTACTGATGTACAGTGATGTCCTGCAGCATGTTTTTTTGGGAGACCTTCCACACCCAACCCTGCCGAACCACAGGGAGAGCCCCCCCAACCCACCCATGGAGCTCGGCACAACAGAACTTGAGCAAAGAAAGGGCTATCTTCAGTGGTGCTGTGCTTCACCATAACCCCATCCCAGTGTAAGGCTGCGTAGGAATAACTCCCAGGAGTAGCACTGCCTGTATGCTGAGAAGACTTGAAGCGAGCCTGCCCTGACGAAGACCAGGAATATTTGCTTCCTGACCTAAGCCAAAACCAGCGTAACCTCGCAGAGCTTTCTCACTGGTTGGGATTGTTTTCTTTTACTTTCTACACAGTTTAAGTCACGAGATGCGGAGCCTGCAGCAAGCGGAGGGAGACACAGTGGGTGGAAGCCAGAAGCAGCAGCGGGATTTTGTCAGACCCCCAAGGAGGAAACTGCTGCGTCTTCCAGAGCAGCAAAAACAGCCGCTGCAAGTGGGAGAGCTGCTGCCTCCATCACACTGGGGCAAGAATGGTGGGCCCATCACATCGCTGCCAGACTGATGGCCCATAACCTGTGGTTTATTCTGTAGGCAAGATCATGGTGCCACTGTTGGGCAAGAGAGAAGCATCCTCCTTGCATCACTACTCCTCAGAGCTGCATCTGGTGGCAGCATCCTTACCTCCCAGCATCTTGTGGCTCCTAAGTCCCTTTAAGATCCTCATAAACATCACACCCAGGCAGCCTCTCCCCTCCCAGAGCACTGCAGAGAAGCAGCATGGAGCCCCTGATGGTATTTTCTGCCTCCAGGAGCTTGCAAGGATGGACAAAAAGTGGGACAAATAAAGCGCTTGTTGCTGCCAGCTCATTCAGGTGAGCCAGCCCACCACCAAACAGCGATGGCTCTGCAGTGGTTTTGGCTGAGGATTTCTTCTTTGGGTGATTCTCCACTTCCATGTGGAGATGCTCAGCTTTAACTGTGCGACCTGAGACTGCAGCAGCTGAAGTGGTGCAGGACCAGGGTCACACTCTGGTTTGGACCATGCCTATCCAAGTCTTACAGCAATGTATTTTTGCACCAGCACTCATGACCCTCAGGCATCTACCTCTGCAGTCCAAACAAGGTCTGCATCAGAGACCCTGTCCTTGCCATACCATATGCACTGAGATGCCCTAGTTAGAAGAGCAGAGGTGATGCTGTGACTATCCAGCCTGCACCCACCAGCTTTTCCCACACTGGTTCCCATTTGGGGTGAAAAACCTGACAACAAGGTCAAATCCACATTGATGAAAAGCACCTGAAAGAGGCCAAAAAGTTATTCTTATGCCTAAGACTCCATCATCTCCTGTAGTCATTTGAACATGCACTTCACTTGCAGTGCTGTGACCTACGTAGTTTGCATGGGGTAACTCAGCAGCAGTGCCCACCTAAAACCTACTGCACTGCCACCAGCATGCGGTAGGGCTCAGAAAGCAGCTTGCAAGGGAGGCCTCCAAGCCAGGAGCCCCAGCCAGGTCAGCTGGAAAACAGCATCTTCACCTCTAGAGCAGCTTCCAGATCTCCTCTATGCTACTTCACGCACAGGGACAAGCAGCATGCACAGGGCTATAACTGTCCCCAGCCACCTTGCCACAATGCCCTATGCAAACAGCTCTAATAGTGCTGTAAATGATGGAAACTGCAGTGCCTTGCCAAGAGAAAGGAGTAAAAGCAATGAAGTGCTCACAACCATCAAGCAATGCCTAGCTAAGGGGTTACTTAAGTACTTGACATAGAAACAGGTTATAATCAGCTGAGAGACCAAGGTGGGACTTGAAATAACAATCACCTGCACACAGACATGTGTTTTCACACAGTTTCTTAGCTTGACGTTATCCAAGGGCTCTTTCTCACTCTTGAGCAAGCAGGTTACCAGCTCAGGAGGCCAGAGAGCCAGGATCAGGCTCCAGCTGCTCAGATGCTATTACAGGAGGTAACGAGGGATGTCCCTCTGCAGCTGGGCTCCTACATCCTGTATCTGCTGCCTATCTGTTTTGTGATCCCAGGACTCATTCACACACCTGTGGAGAGGTGAGGAATTCCATTTTGGGGATCATGGTGGTTGTTGCATGGTGGGTCTCTGCTGCCCTCAAGCCCATTGCAGGCTGGGCCAGCTTTGCATGAGGTGCTGGATTGTTTTGCTCTTTCTTGCTGTTTATCTGGGACAATAACTGAGCCTTGGCGCTTGTCCCAGGGCAGAGCGGACTCTCCCATGCCACTTCCAACATACCTGAGGTATGGGGAGGGAGAATTTTCTCTGCTCACCACTGGCTCCAACTCCCCCTCCTATCTTTGCCTGGGAGGCCCCATGTCTCTGGACTATGCCAGCTGCTCTCCTCCATCCTGCTCCAGAGATCCCCCTGTGTACTTCTCAATTGCTCCTGCCTCATGCCCTTCGTGTTTCTGATTAATTACTCCAGACTGGGATTTGTAACATCAGCTGGAAAGAGGCCACTAAGCCATGGGATGTGGAGAAACCCTGATTTCCAAGCAAGCAGCACAGACCACCTAACCCTGACACAGTGGCTGGCACTGCCACAGGAAGTGATGGCCATGGGCAAGCTGGGTGCTGGTGTCAGAAAAGACTCTTTGCAGGACCTTAAATGAGTTCTCAGAGACCTTTCTGGCCACAGGCAGGAGAAGGCTTTAGGGAGGAGATGCTGCTTTTGGTATAGAGTGCCATCTAAACATCTGAAGACTTGTTACAGCATCACACAGCAATGGTGGGAAGAAACCTCTGGAGTCTCCCATCCAACAGTCTGCAGGACTGTCACCAGCACTGGATCAGGTTGGTCCTGCCTGGAAAACCCCCAAGGATGGAGAAACCCCACCTCTCCAAGTGTCCATCCTAAGGCTGCACCATCCTGCAGGGAGAAGTCGTCCCTAACATTCAACCCTCCTGAGCCACCATATTTGATGGTTGTCCCACATTATATCATCTGCAACTGTCAAGGAAAATGTAGCACCATCTTTGTAACTACCCCTCTAGGAGCTGTAAGCTGCTAGTAGACCCCCTTTCAACCTCCCTTTGGCCAAACTAACCCAGCCTAGCTCCTTGCCAAGCCCTCACTGAGTCCTTCTGTGGTTCCCCTACTTCCCAGTCTCCATCTCTGCCCGATGCAGAGCCTATATGGCCATTCCTCCTGGCCCCACAA